CTCACAGTAGATAAAAAGGATGATGAGCCATGCATACAAGTAACAATAGTGAAAGAAAAAAGTGTCAGTACATAACTACTTTAGTGGGTAGTTCTGTACTTTAGGTGGGTATCAGCAACAGCTTTATGGAGAAAGTGTCATTTGAAATGGATCTTGAAGAACTTAGATGGGCAGGCTGGGGGCAGATGCAGACAAAGCCATGAATTCCAGGTGTAGCTAATTGGACTAGGCCCTGGATAGTCAGTAATGATTTTTTTTAAAAATGTCAGAAGTGAGGAGCGCCTGGGTGGTTAAGTCGGCTAAGCATCTGACTCTTGGTTTCAGCTCAGGTCATGATCCCTCGGTTCATGGGACTGAGCCCCACGTCAGGCTCCATGCTGACAGCGTGGAACCTGCTTGGGATTCTCTGTCTCCCCCTCTCTCTGTCCCTCCCCCACTTGCACTCTCTTTCTCTCTTTCAAAATAAATAATTGATTCAGGAAAGTTAGGGTGACCAGGAGAATGGTTGATAGGTTTAGTGTTTTGGGGGGTTATTTGCATTTTAGAAACCAAACGATTCTCTGGTAAAGAATCTGTATAATAGAGAAGCTGTTGTCCACTCCTAGGGGCTGTTTCTGTCTTTTCTATCATCCTACTTTTTGGGTAGTAAAATACAAAAATGACTCGTTAGTTGTACACACACATTCTTCTGCCTGGTCACTTATCCCAGCCAAATCTCCTATTTCCCATCCTCAAAGGGTACAAAACATTTACTTTATTTTCTTCCATCATAAAAGAATATTATTATTGCTCTTTTTAAAATTGTGTGTCATGTGCTGGATAATGACACAGAAAGGAAATGGAAAGAGCATCTTTATGAATGTTGCTATTAACAAGGTTCCAGACCTGATTGTTTATGTAGTTTCTTCCATTTGTCATTCAGTCATAATGAGTTTCTAGATAAAAATGAGGCTGCATTCAGAGTCATTTTCATGGGGGAATGCTGCTAATAGAGGAAATTTGTGTCCCAACAGCAATTAAGTTATGTAACTGTCAACAATTTACTACATAATCAGGTGTGTCTGGCATGTTGGTTTTGTAGCTCTTGTATGAGCATTGTTAGGGAAAAAAATAATGTTCCTCTGTTGTGTTGTGTCTCTTTGCTGTGAGACTAACTTCACACACAGATATGGTCTGTATTTTCTGTGTCCCCATCCTTGGAAATTTGAGGGCTTTCTGGTTACACTACATGTTCTTCAGAAGCTTTAGAAATCCTTGTTCATTCTAAGTCTGTCCACAGGGTACTGCATTTTCCTGGGTACTGCTAACATACAATTTACAAGACTCTAAACTACCTTATGCAAATGGAAAAATTATATAAGTAATATTTATTCCATAGATTCTATGTTAGATATGAAGAGCAAGATGGCTGGCACATTCCAGATTTATAAGTTTCCTTGGGGTATCTCCATTTTCACTGATGAGGAAATCTAGGCTCAAAACATTTAAGTAATTTATATGCGGTCATGCAGCTATCACCAGATGCAGGATTCAACCCAGGTGTGCATTCCTTCAAATTTGATCTTGTTCCTATACTGTAGTTATCTGTTACTATTAGTGCAGCAGGAATTCAAATGAGGGACTTGGTGTAGGTTGGAATAATTAGGGAAATCATCTCAGAATAGAATAGTAAAAAAATATAAAACATGGGATACACTGGAGGAGATCAGAATCTGGGGGCAGGTAGTTCTAAAATTAATAATAATAATAATAATAATAATAATAATAATAATAATAAAAGCAACTTTTGAACACTTACTATGTACTAGGCACTGTTTAAAATATATTCATTCATTCAGTCCCCACAACAACTATATGAGGAAGGGACAGTTATTATTTTCATTTTGTAGATGAAGAAACTGAGAAGTTATATGCAGGTTAAGGCTCTTGCCTGAGATCACAGATAAAGTCACTGGTGGGATCCAGGTGAGAACTCAGCTGTCTGATTCCAGAGCCTGTCCTATGGGGGAATGAAGAGGAAGGGACAAGTCAAGGGTCTTCAGGGCCGAATACAGTAGATGTAGAATATGGAAAAGGTAATTGTGTATAGGGACAAAGCTGAAGGATGTAGGTTTGGGGAGTACTATATGCCAAGTGGATGCCTGAAGCCTTGAGAGGGAAAAGAAGTAAAGGTAGACATGACATGAGGAGGTGACAGAGCCTGAAGGGATGCTCACAGTTTCTTGGAGGGGAGGAGGATGAAGGGTTGGAATAGGAGACGAAGAAAAGTCAAGGATGGAGAATCCAAGGAAGAAGAGACTGAGGATGAGGCCCCAGTGTCAATATGCCAGAGACTTCATGGATTTGGATAAGTTCAAAGTAACTGGACCATTGTCTCTGTGCTTTTGTGTTTGGTGGTATCTCATTTTTCCTACCAGTTTCTTCTTGCCTCTTACTATATTTTTAGCACTTTTTCTTTTTTCACAAATCAAACTGTAAAGGAATGATGATTGTATTCATGCTATCATTGCAAATGCTCTTTAACATTGTGCGTATTTCCAAAAGGAAATAGCTAATCTTCTGAATTAGATGGTGTGGAGACATGCTAATTTTCGTGAATTCTGTATCCATGGATTGCTAGATATAAAGACTTTATGGGTATCATGTTCTAAATTCTAAGATACTGTAGAATTAGAAGAGATTTGACACAAGTGACATTTTAAAAGAAGCCATTTCATCCTGCCATCCCTAGTTTGAGAACTATCGGTAGCACCTTCTTGCCCACCCCCCAAATCCTTCAGCTGGCTCTCAGGTGACCCTAAACTCACCCCTCCTACCTGTCCAGCCTGGTTTCCCCCAATGTGGATGCTCACTTCTGTGACACACAGTGAGGCATCCTCACTGTGTCTTCTAATGTCTTCGTTCTTTTCTACTTCTATGCTGTCTCCCTCTTCACCTAATGGTTTCCTTCAAAGCCTGGAGAATGAATTCTCATCCACACTCTTGATACTGTTAATTCTCTGTCTGCCTCAGTGATTTCTCCTTTATCTTGATATCTTTGGCGCATATTGTCAGCACTGTGTATTTTGGCACTTAATAATTTAGACACAGGTAACCTGGCAAAAAAAAAAAAAAAAAAAAAAAAAAAAAAAAAAAAAAAAAAAAAAGAAATATGACTTTATAGTAGTTTTATTTTACAAAATAGGATACTTAGTAGGTGAATTGGGAATATGTGAATTTTGTTTCTTATTAAGGAATAATTCTCTTCCAAGTGAAGGTACACACATATAGCATCGCTTTTAAAAGGAATTTCTAGCTACCAAGAGTATGAAACCTAGTTCATTCTCATTCTTCTTTAATTTAGGAATATTAAATGCTGATATTGATTTTTGGCACACATTGAGGATCCCTACAATTTTGAGAGGGTCCATTAGAGCAATTAATGAGTTTCCATGAGACATAAGTTGTTTTTGACATTGCCAAAGGGCTCTTCTCATAGTAATCCTTATCATTTTAGACCTGATTAAGCATTTTGTACAGCACAGATATCCTGTTTAAGTATAACAGGATGATGAGTGGATTTGTCCCTGTTGTCCCAGAATGTCAGCTCATCTCAAAGTGGAGGTCAAGGGCATTAAATGCTACGTCTTACTGTCCTACCTCCAGAACCTGTCCTACCACCATCAACCTGCACTGTACTCCTAGACAGCTGGCTAAGTGAACTTTCAACCAAGGAATGCAATGCCTGTTTCTTTTTCTTGGTGAAACCCACAGTTTCTTTCTTTCCCTGGGTTCAGGGAAGAAGGCAGCTTACCCTCAACATATCATCACCTCTCAAGGCCAGCTCCCAAGTATTCCACTCTGTCCCCAGTCATCTTCATATATTGATTGGAGGTTGGAGTGGGGAGGGGTGTGTGAAAGCTAGGTTAACTGTGGTATTCCTCAGCAAGTCTTGAGGAAACTTAGGCCATGCCTGTTTGCTGGATGCTGTCTGTGAAAGAGTGCGTTTGCCAACCTTGCCTACATGTTAGAGTCATCCAAGAAGCTGATGCCCAGGTTGCACCCTTATCTCTTTCGGTGGGACTCTAGCATCAGTCGCTTTGAAAACTTCCCAGGTTATTCCAATAAGCAGCCAAGATTGAGAACCACTGCCGTAAAATGTATGGGGATGGGATAGGGAGTGGAGGGGGTACTTGGGGTCTTTTATTCTCCAGGTTTGACTTTTAGATAGAATTCTTTTTTTAAAAAAAGATTTTATTTTATTTATCCTTGAGACAGAGACAGAGCACGAGCAGGGTAGGACAGAGAGAGAGAGAGAGAGACACAGAATCTGAAGTGGGCTCCAGGCTCTGAGCTGTCAGCATAGTGCCTGACATGGGGCTCAAACTCACGGACCGTGAGATCATGACCTGAGCTGAAGTCAGATGCTGAACTGACTGAGCCACCCAGGCGCCCCCCCAAAAAGATTTTATTTTTAAGCAATCTCTACACCCAGGATGGGGCTTGAACCCACAACCCTGAGATCAAGAGTTGCACGTTCTACCAACTGCGCCGGCCGGGTGCTCCTGAAATTCTTTGAAAATAAAATACCTCACTCAGTATCTTGTTAAATAAATAAAGATAAAGGTTGTAGTTTAATCTATCTTGTGTTTCAGCTGAATACCATGTTTAACTGAAGGATCAAGATTATACTTGCTTGGACTTTTTCTGAATGGTAAAACTTTTAATAAAGTGAAAAGATTAGTATGTTTTATTGGCCATCTTAAAAGCTGCATCTTATTGTCATACAGTAAATTAGTTTCATCCCAGCAAGAGAATCTGACTAAAGCAACATCACTGGGATGAGCTAATAGCCATCTGAATTGGCAAGGAGCATATATTGACAGTCATATTCTAGCAAGTTTATTCTGTGATCCTATTCTGACAATTTGTCCTAAGAATTCCACTATTTCATTGAGCATGCATGTACTTCTTAAAGGCACCATTTCATTGGCTTTCTCATTTCCTTGGTTTTCTCACAGCTCGAGAGATGGCTGCCCAATGCGTTACAAAGGTGCAACTGAGCATTTCCTGTGACAATCTTTTGGATATGGATGTAGGGTCAAAGTCGGACCCCTTATGTGTGTTATTTTTGAATACGAGTGGTCAACAGTGGTATGAGGTAATGTTAAATTCTGTAGATGAAAAGCAATCTGAATTGCTCTTTTGATAATGTGAAGTGCTTATTTGAATTGTTAAAATAATAACAATTTAAAATTAACAATCTCTTAATGCAGTTTTTTTAGGCAAGTTTGTCCTTGATTGCGGAATTTTTCATCTATGTATAGAAACTTCCTTTACCTATCCAGTATGCCTATATCTAGTTACTTGTAGGACAGCAAGATGCTAAAATGTGAGTGCATTTTGATCTGAAGAAACTTTTTGTCTTGGGGGGGAGTATAGGTTGATCGCACAGAAAGGATTAAGAATTGCTTGAATCCCACATTTTCCAAGACATTTATTATTGATTACTACTTTGAAGTGGTTCAGAAATTGAAATTTGGGATTTATGACATTGACAACAAAACCGTCGTGCTGAGTGATGATGACTTCCTAGGAGAATTTGAATGTACCCTTGGACAAGTGAGTATAATTAGCTGTTGTACTATCTTGCGTCTAAATTTTAACCAGAGAATTGGGCATTTTTGATAAGTGCTCATTAGTTTAATTTTTAGAGTTGAAAAACATGTAATCACTTTAAAGCCCTGGTTCATATATATATATATATATGTTTGGTTTGAACATTATATAATTTATCTTATTTTTCATAAGGGCAGGAACTGTGTGTTTTTGGCAGAGCCCATTAATTCTTTTGCGTTGGGTGTTTCTTTTCCTTTTTTTTTCTTAGACATGTTTCATTTGTCATTTCAGCATTTCAGTAAGTAATACCATTGCTCTAGCTGCTTTGTGTACTATTTACAGGTTTCCTGTTTACATATTTCAGTACAGTTTTGTTCTTATGTTTAAGTCATAAACGCTTTCAAAGTAACATCAACTTCTCTGATGTTCTAACTAATGTGACTGGTCCCACTAGATCCCTGATGGCCCAACACCATCCCTCTACCTGGCTTGCTCTTCCTAAACATTAGGTACATCAGTGTAAGCCTTCCTCCCCTAGTAAGCGTCCTCTGAACACCTTGAATAGTTTGGAGAACAACCCTAATCTCAGCTGGTACTCTCTACTGCTTCTGTCTTAACATCTACCACATTGTATTATAGTTGCTTAATTATCCATCTTTCCAGTATATGACAGATTTTATCAGGGTACAGGTATGTCTGTAGGCTCACCACTTAGCTCCTAGCTCAGAGTCTGACTTCTAAGGAGAGATCATGACCATTGCAAAACAGCTGGAAAGATCTCAGGAGGGAGCAGCCATTGTTTTTCAGTGGGTGACATTTATTGCTTAGATTTATTTATTTTTCAGTGTTGAATTGTTTGTGGATCTTGGTATTTCCTATTCTCAAGCACAAAAGCTGGTTGGTTTTCTAAAACTTTAATGAATAGTATCAAAGAGGAAATTAAAGTAGTATTTATTTTTTGGGAAAAAAATCACATTGTAGCTAAAATTATGATGAATTTCAGAGATGTTCTGTTTGAGAGTACCTCTCTGTTTGAGAGTACCTCTCTGTTTGAGAGTACTATATTGTTTTAATCAAAATGATATGTTTTTTTCCAGTTTTAATTTCCTTTTTTTTTTTTTAATTTATATTCAAGTTAGTTAACATACAGTGTAGTCTTGGCTTCAGGAGTAGAACCCAGTGATTCATCTCTTACATATCACACCCAGTGCTCATCCCAAAAAGAGCCCTCCTTAATGCCCGTCACCCCTTCAACCCTAAGGTTGTTCCTGTATTTAATTAAGAGTCTTTTATGGTTTGCTTATCAAAATGATATTTTGTGGGGGTTATATCAAAGTTATGTGTCAGTTGAAAAATTGAATCCCATTTTTGAGTGTTCTGAGGCCCACCTCTTACCTACAGTGTTTTCAGGTCAGTGATTAGTGTATGTGAAGAGAATCTGGCCCTCTTTTTCCATTACAGGGAAGCAGTTAAACTTTGAAGTAGTTGATAAAGAAACTAGCAGTTGGGAAGATTGTATCTGTCAGGATTGGCTCCGTGGAAATCTTTTCCTGTGGGTTTTAAATAAATAGATGTGTTTTATAATGTCTCAGTCTTTAAGGAATTGACTTAATGTTTCCATATGTAATGACTTAAGTCTACTTTATACTCAACTCTTTTTTCAAACCATTCAGCTTAAAAATTTACATGTTGAAGTGAAATAGCTCTTTGTATCACTTTCCAATTTTAACAGATTGTGTCCAGTAAGAGGCTTACTCGACCACTGGTGCTTAAAAATGGCAAACCTGCGGGGAAAGGGACCATTACGGTAACAATAAGATATGTGTCTTTTGCCTGAAAACATTTAACATGATAGGACATGCTGAAACTATACATACCAGACAAATACTCTGTAGCCGTGCTTTTATCATTTGATCTTGAATGTTGCCCTTCATTGGCACTTGCCTTATAATGATCACAAAATGGGAAATGTATTGGGTCAAAAAAGGAGGAGAAAAATGCAGTGTGGGAATTCCTTCTTTGAGTCTTTTAAGTTACTCATGGAATCAGGTGCACCTTGGTGATGCTTGCCTCTCCCCCATGGAAGTGTAAATTCCCAAGCTAGAGAGAAACAACTTAATCATCTGAATGGACCAGTTTGACCCTCTACAAGCAAACATAGTTCCCTTAATAGGACAGAAACTTTGCATAATGGATTTTATTCCAAACGGTTCTATATCATGCCATGCCCATTGAGCCTCTCAACTCTTAACCATCTTTTTTGTGCTTGCACTCTGCAACCCATCCGTCCACTCAGATTTTTCCATTGCTGATTATTGGTCCTAGGCAAATGAGTATATGGTTTATACTGTTTTAGATTTCAAATTATATAATGCTACACTTTAAATAAGTACCCCTAAATAATAGAATAAGATAATTATCTTCCAGAGTTTCTGTCCAGGTTATCACTGCCTGGAGCAGTAGTTTTGAACTTTATCCAAGAATAGAAGGCTGGCTCCCTGAGAGGCCATGTTTGAGGGTTATTGTCCTTGTCAAGTACATTTCACCACACAACTGTTGCTCTGGTTTAAATTTCCTGAGACAGAAGAATGTTAAGTGTCTTTGGGGTGTTGACTTCTGTGGGACAGAGAGCATTACAGTAGTTAGCTTTATTGCCCTTGGGGTCATGATAGCCTGGAATTTGTTTTTAAGTAGAACAGTTTTTCAGTTACATTGGATGAAAATTATTGATCTGATAGTTCAGTTTAAAGTTCAATTTAAAGTGTTCTCTAGGTATGATTTACTCACAATAACAATCAGTCAGTACTTCCTAAGTTTATCGAACCCCTAAAACATATTGTCTTTCACTTACCTTATGAAATCCACTTATAGATTTCAGCTGAAGAAATAAAGGATAACAGAGTGGTCTTATTTGAAATGGAGGCAAGAAAACTGGACAATAAGGTGAGTAGTTGATGCACATTTCCACAAGGATATCATGTTTTGCCTCACATTGATTCCTTTTTGAAAAAAATAATAATGCAATTAGCATTATGAAGTCCATCATCTGAACATCACTTAGTATTTAGTTACTTCCAAATTCTGCTTTTCAGTCTATTTTTAAGCAGAATCTATTTTCCTTAACCTCTTTCCTCTAGATGTTATCAAAGGATTTGTCTATCTTAAAAGAAGAGTTAATAAAAGCATTAATGTTATTGTAAAAGATATTTGAGAGAGTGTTATTGGATTACTTTAGGGAAAGAAGGAAAAATTTTATGTTCTGTTAATTATGGATTTTCCTCTTTGCCTCCAAAAGTCAATGTTTTTGTTTTTTTTTTTTTAAATGAAGGAGTACCAGTACATAATAACACAACAACTTAGTCTATGGCATGAATTAGTATAATTCTTTGAGTGATTTTTATACCTAATTATATAATTCAATCAAATTTTTATCATTTGCATTTACCTTACAATTCACTTTGTAAACATCTTAGACTAGTAGCCAGGAACTATTTTTATTTTGGAGCAAATTAAACATACAAAGAATAGCATTTAAAAAACATCTGCATGTCCCCATCACCCATCTTCAACACTTCTAACTCAGGGCCAATTTTGTTTTATCTCCACCCCTATCTACCTTCTCTCCTCCCAGACATCATATCATTTCATCTGTAAATATTCTGGTGTATCTCCAAAGACTCTTTTAACATTATAATTGGTTGGTATGTTTTAAGTCTTTTTTAATCCATAAATTCCCCCTTTCTTTTATTTCCTTCCTCCCTCTTTCCATTATTCCTCCTCATTTTCTCCCTTCATCCCATCCATCCATCCATCCATCCATCATGCAATTTATTCAATAAAGAAACTGACTCCTTTGTCCTAAGGATGTTTTAATATTCTGCATATAGCTGATTAAATACTTGTGGTATCATTTAACATGTTTATCTCTCCACCTTTATTTCCTGATTTATATAAGCTGGTGATTGAATCTAGAGGAATGATCTGATGATATTTTGATGGTAGTTTGTTACGGCAGTTTCATAGGTGGTGGCATTACATCAGGAGGCTCACATTGTTGAGTTCTGTCTTTTTGGGATGTTAGTGAACATTGATGATAACTGTACTACCTAGATATATTATTTTATTAAGAGTCCTTTAAATAGTGAGATTCTCACTCTATCATTGCTTCTTCATTTATTAATGAGGATAGTTCCATAAAGAGAAGTATTCTTACCCACACTGGGTATTTATTTATTCTGAGATATTATTGTACAGGAAGCAAATTAAAATGTTTGATTTTTCCCCCCCAATATATACAATTTCTCAGAATAAGTTGGTTCCCTATCATCCTCTAAATGTGACAATGAGGATTTGTTTGTTGTTTTTTATTTTTAGTATTATATGAGCTCTTTATCAGTGAACTTTTATTGATGCTTAAATTACCTTAACTTTGGCCTTTGGGAATCTCTTTAAATTTGTTCCTGAAGTCAACTGGCATATCTCCAGGAATCTTTGGATAGCTTCATTGTTTTGTGGCATGACAAGATGTTCCAGGATTATTTTATCTAATTTCTTCCCCAGACGGGCAGATTAAAAGAAGCCTTATTATGTTTTAGTGGAAATTGTTGTTTAGAGACCAGTCTGGTGCTAGGGGTGCTTATTGTTGATTATTGCCACTTATTGTTTCTAAGGCTTTTTAGTAGACAGAGGAAAGACTGTTTTGTTTTTGTTTTTGTTTTTAAAAGAAAAACTAAATCATAAATTTATACAGCTATTTCCAGTTCAGATACAGAATTACAGGGCTTTACTTCTTTAATTCTATATTTACACCTCCTGTCTCTTACGCTGAAAATCTCATTTCGTAAGGATGTTAACATAACTGTTTATCTTTTGTGCCTTTTATAATATCTAATAGTTTCAGAATAAAATTATCCACATTATCTTTAACAATATTTTTACTGGAAACAGTTTGAGCTTTCTTTGAAATTCTTTAAAAAAATTTTTTTTAATGTTTATTTATTTTTGAGAGAGAGAGACACACACACACACACACACAGCACATGAGTGGGGGAGGAGCAGGCTCCAGGCTCTGAGATGTTAGCACAGAACCTGATGCGGGGCTTGAACCCACGAACCTTGAGATCACGACCTGAGCCGAAGTCGGATGCTTAACCAACCGAGCCACCCAGGCGCCCCTTGAAATTCTTTTTTAAAATTTTATTGATTGATTAATCGATTGATATATATAATCTCTATACCCAATGTGAAGCTTGAACTCATGACCCTGAGATCAAGAACTGGCATGCTCTACTAACTGAGCCAGCCAGGCACCCCTCTTTGAAGTTGTTTTTGTTTTTAGGGTTATATATTCTACATGGGTTGTATTTTCAAATTCTTTTGGTTTAAAGAAATCTTTTAGTTATTATTCTATCACAATGACACATAATTGAATTTTGCTTTTGAAATTTAGGGATTATTTTCAATTTTTAAAAATTTAACTTTCTTTTATAATTATGTAAAAGATTTATATGGTTTCAAAGCCAAATCTATATTATTAGATATAGTCAAGAAATTTAGCATCTTTCCCCATCCACTCTTTTTTCTTTTTTTGTCTTGGTAGGTAGTAATTTTTTTAAATTTGTTCTATGGTTTAATTGTTTAATTTTATAAAAAATCTAAGATTTTTGTGTGTGTGTATGTTTATGTAATTTATGTGTCTCTGTGTATACACATATGTATATGTGTGTGTATGTTGATATGTCCATATAGATAGATATGTATGTGTGTATGTATGTATGTATTTGTATTTATATTCCCTACCCCCAGGCCTTGGATAACTGTAACATACATACATATATGCCTTCATACATATATATGTGTGTGTATATATGTGTATATATGTGTGTGTATATATATGTGTGTGTATATACATATATATAATGTACATATACACACTTCCTCCACCTTGCTTTCATCACTTAACATGTTATGGAGGTCTGAGTCAGGAACTTATAATTCTTATTTTAATTCTACTACTGACAACTTCATGAACTTTTAAACAACGTTTGTTGTCTAACCTTCAGAATGATAATGATGATATTCTGCCCTTCTCATAGGTTTATTTCTAAGATAGGCCAGACAGGGTATATTAATGTGTATTTAGAAAGTTAACTTTTCTAAAGTGCTATTATAAAATGGTTCACAGAGAGACTTATTACACTGATTCTTTTTTAGAGTTTATTTATTTATTTTGAGAGAGGGAGAGTATGCGCATATGGGCAAGCAGGGGAGGGGGAGAGAGAGAGCATCCCAAGCAGGTTCCATGCTGTCAGCACAGACCCCGATGCAGGGCTCCATCCCACGAACCTTGAGATCATGACCTGAGCCAAAACCAAGAGTTGGATGCTTAAACGACTGAGCCACACAGTCGCCCCTGATTCTTAAGACTCTTCTTAGCGATAAGGTTAAATTTTAAAAGTTCTGCATAGCCTTTGCGTTTATATACCCATATATATATTAAAAGTTTATTTATTTAAGTATTCTCACTCAACATGGGGCTCAAACTCATGACCCCAAGGTCAAGAGTCACATGCTTTTTAGACTAAGCCAGCCAGGCACCCTTGTGTTTATATTTTTGACTGTACCAAATATGTTACTTGCTTGACATTGAACTGCTGAGGAGGGAAGTAACATTATCTTAGTTCTTAATTTAATACTGAGGTTAATTTAGGACTCAGAAAATCTTCAGTTCAAGGACATTAACTGCATACATTACTGTGGAATTAACAGGTGTCTTTTTGGGGCTCCTGGGTGGCTCAGTCGGTTACGTGTCCAGCTTTGGCTCCGGTCATGATCTCACTGTTTGTGAGTTCAAGCCCAGCATCGGGCTCTGTGCTGACTGCTGAGAGCCTGAAACCTGCTTCAGATTCTCTGTCTCCCTCTCTCTCTGCCCCTCCCCCGCTCATGCTGTGTCTCTCTCTCTCTCTCAAAAATAAATAAACATTAAAAAAATTTTAAAAAGTAAAGAGATCCTGATGTAACAGGTGTCTTTTCATTTTGACAAATAATAAGTAATATATTCTAAGGAGTATGGAAATTTCAAAATGAAAACAAACAAAAATGAGAAAACAAAATCATTTATAATCTCTGCTTAAGTTTGACCTCTGTGAGTGATTTGGTCATTCTTCCAGAATTTTATCTGTGTGTGTGTGTGTGTGTGTGTGTGTGTGTGTGTGTGTGTGTGTTTGTTGAGGATAGTGATAAGGGTATTTTTGAACACTCAGTGTGCTTCAGCATTATACAGGTGCTGTGGTGAATTACAGAGGAAAAAGAAGATGTATTTTGTACCCTTGAAATAATTCTATTATGCACTCTACATATTTACCTCTACTCCCTTATGTATGTAAAGAAATGTGTGGAATTGGGGAGAGAGTGTTGGACATAGAAGGATAAGATATAAAGTCAAGACTCAGATCCATCAATTAAATTAGATGTGTGATCTTGGCAAAGTTATTTAACCTCTCTGAATCCATTTTATTGCTGATAACTGCTCTGCCCTTCATATAGTATGACTAATGTTTGGGATGGCATTTATATCAAACTATTCAGTGCTATGCAAATGAATACTGTTAATAATGAAAACAAGCCCAAAACATATTTTATTGATTATGGGTCCTATTCTTCATTATATTTTATAGCAATGTTCTCATGTTTTTTGAGACGTGAAGTTGTGATACATGGATTATGAGCATTTATCACAAATGCCTTAATAGTTCCCCTTGTAGACATTCACAGTTTATAAGTTCATGAGGAAGGTGATGGGATTTGTATTTACTACTGTACTGTGCTGTATAT